CGAAGCTTATTTGGCACCTACACGCTTATCGCTGTTCGTTCACACCGACATAAAAGTATTGAACATCATTCTCCAACTAAACTGGTGATTGACGACAATAACCGGGGAATGTCTGCATTTACAACATTTACCAATTTTTAGGTAAATGATGTCATTTACCGGGGAATGACGTCTTTTACCACGTTTACATCTTTCACCGTAACATATATATATGTATTTTATACTAATTATATATGTACAGTGTGTATACATTATATACCATATGTTTATATATACATTATGACCTACAAGTGTTAACTAGGGGTACCTACTTATTGAATATCATACATTTATTTGACAAATATATTAAAAGAATATTTCTTTCTTGTATTATGAAAGTTATGAAAACATACATAGTAGATGTTTATAGGCGAAACATTTATTTATTTCTAAAATTATCTTTGGTGATCTATAGTATGAAATTGGATAGTCCTTGAATAAACTGTCCATCCTGCAACTATGTTCTTGGAATATATCAAAAATAAATTCCAACTGGGTCACTGGGATCAATTAAAACTAGTTGAAAAAATCTGCCTGATTAAATACATAAATTATAACTTTAAAAAATATCAATTTAAACATTTTAATTTTTTTTTTTAACCTGTCACATTTAGGTACTTTGTATGACAGTTAATAGAATGTATTAAATTTAAAACCCTTTAAGAAGTGTTAGTAGTGATCTTATTACATTAATACAATTTTTATTATAAGTAAGTAAATGAAAAAGTCATGATTCAAGTCTGATCCTAATACATACAATTAAGTACAGGGCATTTTGCCATTTTATAATTAAAAAAAACATTATTTTCCTATTTTTTCTTTGAAAATCGTCCATCGAAAAAATATAAATCTTTAGTGAATTGTGAGTTTTGATTATGTTCAGAGGTCCCTATTGAATCAATAAGGTATCTAAAGAAGACATTCTTGGTCACCTTACTAGGCGCAATGGTGCAAGTGGTGTCTACTAATATATTATAAGAAATACAAAACAATTAATTCAAAAATTGTAAGTATATTATATAACTTTATACAAATATTATATTATTGATATACAGGTGATTCGCCAATTATGCTCAACACATTTTTCTTCAATAATTCAGTTATTCAAAATCTGATTTCTTATATTTTTAAATAAACTTTAAAACCATATTTTCGTTTGAAAAAAAAAGTTTGATTCACCACAAGACACTCCTTAAGTAGTTCAAAAAATTCAAGAATTCGAAAATATAGTCTTTGAGTACCTATATTTAAAAATTCCTAAAATCAGAATTTGAATAAATTCACTATCTAATGTAATGAGGGTGTGGTTATCACCATATATATGTTATTGTGTTAATCACATTCTAGTGAAAATTATATTGACATCTAAAAGTAAGTGTATTTTTTTTTTTAATGTTGATATACCAGGCCAGATGAAGCTAAGGTGGTTAATGTTATAAATCATAGGGTAATTGTGAAGTTTGCACAGGGGGAGTCATTCAAAGAAAGCCTAAAGGAATGAGAAGGAAGAAGTGTGTGACCAAGATGGCAAGATGTTGGTGGGAGAACGATATTATGCATTTCCTAGAGAGGTTGATGTTGTGAATTCATGGTAGAGGTGGGATGGTTGGGGATATATTTCTGTACAAGGAGTCGTACTGACTACTGAAGTTGTAGCGATTTCCAGTATTTATGACATAGATTAGTTGTATAAGCACTCAAAAAATATAACATTTATTGATTATAAGAAGAGAAAGTTATGATTTGAAAACATAAGAAATTAAGACTTATCATAACCTAACCCAACAATCAACATAAACCTTTAAATTCTGTGTTGTATTCATAGACCTTAATATGCTCATAGACGGAACGTTGTTGTAGTTCCGGTGTCCACGTTTGAACTACACCGCACATGCGCACTAAATGGTGGATAAACAGTATAATACTACGTATAATATGTAACACATATTATATATGTGAAAAAAATTGGCATGATCTCACCGACCAACCCCGCCAGCCAGGCATGGTCCGTCGATTGGTATAAGGTCTATGGTTATTTTACAATAACTTCATGGCAGAGAAACATGCGTCCGCACTCAGCGCTATCTCGCGCCGCGGAAATTCCTCGTTCGGCCGAGGTCCGAGATAATATCATTGTTATTCGTTATCGTCTGGTGATGCACTTTTGCGCTGATGCTTACGACCTTGGTCCCGTTCACTTGTTGTCAAACGTTCAATTATTAATTTGTTACAATTTTCCATGACATCCGTCGGTTAACGTTCGTGATCATCTGTCCCGAGACAAAGAAGTTGAATCTGTTTATGACAACAACGCCAGATTTTTAACCTGCATTTTTTAAGTGTGTAACTCGCAGTGTTCAGTCTCGCACAGTCACATGGTTTTCACCATTCGTCCGCAGCCGTCGTCAACCAACTCGATTTCGTACTTTTTCGACCTAGACAGTAAATTATCTCTAAAAACCCGTCAAACGATTTGGTACAATTTTTCAAGGCGCGTTTTGCGATTTCTTTTGTTATCTCTTTTTTTTCTTTATCACAACCACCTGTTGTTTTACTGTGGCCGCTGCTCCTCTTATTGTTGTAAACTCTGAGTAATTTTATTTTGTATTTCATACAACTATACAGTCCGCCATTAAAAAAAATATTTCTACCGACAGTCGAACCTTATATTATTACAATGGAGAGTACTGCGGTCAACGTAAAAGAAGAAGACACTGTTCCCGTTGTCGCTACCGTTGAAGTCGCCGTTATCGTTTCCGATGTGGCAAAACCAATTGTAGTGAGTGATGCAATTGTTCCACTGATGAAGGTAGACAAAGAAATGATTATGACCACTAATGATGTTGACCATGTGGTGGTCAGCAAACTAGCCGTTGTGACAAACGAAACTACAATTACCGTTAACGCCATTAGTAACAATCCCGGAGTCGGAGAAGATCAATTAAATTTAACCATGCCATCTGCAAAAATATCGACTAATGAGGCAGATGAGATTAAACACAATCTAGGTGAAAAAGTTTTGGATGAGCAACAGAAACTTGAGACAGCTACAGTTGAAAAGGATGTTGTTATAAATGATAATTCTGATATAAACCTAGATAGCTCTGTAAAAACAAAGTCAGGTGATGGTAATGAAGACTATAGTGAAGGAACTCAAGATGTGAGTAATCATTTATATTAATATTCTATATTTTGTCAATTGTGCTCTTAGCAAGGTTGTTGAGTGTAGGAAGTATGAGTTGTGAATTATTATATAATTATATTGTGTCCATCAGATGTTCTTTTCAAAAAACGGTATTCAACAACTTAATGTATATTAACGCTCTAGATATCAATATTTGAAAAAATTAGATAAGAACCTACCTACATAATTAAAATAAATTTTCAAATAAGGTCAGCTATTTGGGTTTTGTGTATTTTGAGAATTTTAAATTCGGTAAACTCTATTAGAATACCTATTCTGTAGGTAGGCACTAAAAAGAATTTTACATTACCTATAGACACCGAGATATTAACTGTTAATTATTAATAGATAGACAATTTTATTATTTTTAACAAAATACCATTTAAGTGTTGAGCTGTCCTTAGATTAACTCGAAGATTTATTTAACTACATATTTTACCTGATTATTTTATTTGTATAATTAGGTATATTTATTGTATTCCTAGTGAAGCCTTCAATAATAAATTATGATAAAATATTCGTTCAAACTTAAATTGTATTCTGTTGAAAAAAACCTCCCCATTTGAAAACCATAATAATTATCCAACTATATCTGCCTAGGAAGAAAATGTGCTCATTCTGCGAGATTTGCCACATCACCCTGCTATCAAAACCACTTCTCCTATAGCAGGGTGTTGAGTGGAGATGCGCAGGAGAACTGATTTTGGTAGAAACTGCTGCACATTCGCTTGCTGTACTAAGAATAGTTTTAAGTATAATTTTTATCTGATTGTTATTCCATTTTAGCCTGCAGCACCTGCAGAACCTGAAGTACCTGTGTCCGTGGATGATGATACTAATGATCCACAGTACATACCTAGGAGTGGACTATTCTACGAGCATGAAGACCGCATGGCATATAGTACAACAAGCTCTGAAGGATCAGAATCAATTAATGAATATGAAGAAGATTCAGGAGATGGCAATAGAATTTCTGAGTGAGTAGTGACTAGGAAATATAATTTTAGGCATGTATAGTATTAAATAAATAACACATTTTATTTTAATAATTATTAGTCATCGCAGCATTACAAGACGATATATGAGCATTAAAAAACAAAAATCAGTGACTCCAGTAATTACTGTCGAAAACACCGATTTAGCAGGTGGGGATGGAATATTGTCAACTAAAAAAGTCTTGGCCATATATAAGGTTGCTCCTACAATAAAAGACTCTCAAACTGCTGATGGATTAACTAAAAAACTCAGTGTAGGTTTTAGAAAATATCGTAACTTAGATGCTCTGGATAAGTGGACACATGATATGTATGATGAAAATGAGCAGACACCTAAAAGCCGTGATGAGTTACTGGCCTATTATGGATATGACATACGGGAAGAATCAGAGGCGCCTCGAGCTCGACGTCACCATAAATATGGGTAAGTTAATGATAGAAACTATTTATTTATAGTCTGCGTATATTAATAATTACAATTGCTTTCATTTAAGGCGAGCTGCCACCACCAAAAATACTCGTAGTTAACAGGATACAAAAGCTTACACTGGTGCTGCTGGCGGCCAACAGTCTATGAAAGTTAAGCGTGGAGGTATGGATCGACGAAATGTCGATAGTCCGAATAAGAAAATCAACAAATCTACAACTGATGAGTACACCTCTGAATTCCCAGCCTTGGATGATACGAAAAAATCAGAGCCTACTGCTTCAAATGAGTCTCCTACAGTTGCAGAAGTCTCAAATCAGAATCAAGAACAACAACCGAAAACACTTTCTGTTCAGAATGAAGAAAAAAAATCTGTGGATTCAGTTGTGGAAACCACCAGCCAGGCTCGGCATCACACTCCGTCATCCCGAGCAACTTCAAAATATAGTACAAATTCCCCTACAAATCGTAGCAATCGCCAGGATCAGCAAAATGGTGGTCCTTCTTCTTCATCGTCATCAACTAATACTAAAAATTATTTCAACCGGTCTTCAACAGAGTCTCCAATTGGCAAAGAGAAAGGCGCTCAAGTAAATCGAGACTCTCCAACAGCTAACTCAAACTTCTTTAATCGTAGACCACAACAAAACAGTGGTGGCCATAATCAACATCATAATAATAAGCATCAACACTACAACAATAGTCAAAGCGGTCAAGGACATAACCACCAGCACCAAAATTCTTCGCCTTCAGTATCTCGTGGCCGTAATTTCCATCAACATCAAACTTCGCAACAATATAATCGTGATAGATATTTTTCTAAAGGATCAACACCTTTATCTTCATCCAGTTCAAATCAACACAACTACGATCAGCAGCATCATTCTGCAGCACCTACTACAGCTGCCACAGCACGTATGAAAAATGGTGGTGGACATAATCAAAACTATAAGAATCGTCAATGTAAGTATTCTATCATAAAACACGTTCTCATTTTTAATTCTTCCAAATATTCTTCAATTATAATTTATAATATCCATGATTGGACTTGTTTTCAAGTGTGATCATTATTAGTGTCAAAAACACCTAAGCATGAACTAGTTCATGCAATACTTCATTATACCCTTTCATTGCTCTAGACTATTACATTCACTGCTCAGTGTTCTAGAGTAGTAGAGTCTATACATACTACTGCAGTATTTCATTCCTGTATTTTATAATATTATGATTTGCCGGTAATCATGAACCTTAGGAACCTCTGACTCGTATTATGCTTAACTTAAATAATTAGATCATATAGAATAATATTTTATTAATTAATAATAACTCATGATTTATCTATTCAAGATAAAAAGAAAAATCAACAAGTTGAACCACTTCCACCACCAACGCCGGTTGTACGAAGCTTAAAACGGTACTCAGTTCAAACCCGCAGGAAGCTCCCTGACCCTGTGCTAAATTTTGGCGGAATATCTAAGATACCTCAGCCACAGCCTCCAACTGCTCATAAACAAAACTGTTTAGTTATGCAAGACCAACAAATGAAACCTGCGTCTCAAGAATTATTACAACATCAATCACCAGCGCTATTGCAAACACAGCAGTATCACCAACTCTCAGAACAAATACTTCATAACATGGTTCTAGATCACAACACCGGTATGATGAGTATGACTGCTGCTGATCCATCTATCTACCATCATCAAAGTGCTGAAAATCAGAATGCAGCTATTTACCAACCAGTACAAACAGGTACTACAGTTGTAACATCATTTTCATCTGGAACACAATCTTTACAACAACCAGTAAGCTTTTTATTTTAATTATTGGCTTCAATGAAAGTATTTTGTATACACTATTTTTAATGTTGAGTCTTATTTTATTTTCTCTTTAACACAAAATATATAGATATATGTTTACAAATTGATTATGTTAACACATTCTTCATAATCTTATTACTAAATATATATATACATGTAATTATAAAATAGTATATCAGAGTATATTTATAAATTATAACAAAAAAGAAATTGTTATCATATTTTTTTTCTAGAAAATCTTTACGACAACTACTTATCAACAACAGCAACTGTCACAACAACAGCCTTCTCCAAGAAGTGTCAATCTGGCTATGCCCATAGTGCCACCACCTCCAGAACCCAAACAACAACTAGGGATTTGAAAACCAATTATCTTACAACAGCTTCAACCAATTAAGAACAGCTTCCATAACTAATTCATATCTTCAACACAATATTGAACATTTTTCTTTTTTTTAAAACTTTTCTTAGTTTTTAACAATCATTTTTATAATAATTGGTTAAACCATTATTTTAGATAATAGTTTCAATTGATTCTGAGTTCAGTTTTGTTTTATAATATTTTTTTTTTTAATATTCAACTATTATTATTTTATACTTCGTTCAAGAAACAAATCCAATTATATAATGCATTTTTAGGATGGATGACTACAATAGTATAGTATTACTCTGTAATATACCAAACTTAGGTGTCTAGAAATGTTAGTTTAATAGTTGTTGTAATGAGTGTTTGTCTAATCATTGTATCGTCATTAATCAATTAAAATACCAATACACCATTAAAGCTAATACATTTTTTTTCAATTACATATTATTGTAATTTAAATAGAATAAAATAAAATAAAAACTTATTACTACATAATTATAGTAACTTATATTATTTATGTGTATCAGATATAGAGTAAATTTTCTTTTTCTTTCAAATGAGTAGTTATAAACTAATAGAAACATATTTTTAGGTTTTTTTTAAGATTATAAATATACCCGACAATAATTAACGATAAGCAGTGGTAATTAATGCATTTTGGAAATCATTTATCAGTAATTGGAAATCATAAACAAAAAACTAAATAAAAAATGTTTCTAATTTTACATGTATTAGTTATAGAGATATGTACAAGAAATATTGGTTTTCAGTTAGTGTCAGTAGTTATATTTATTGGTCCCAGCTGCTTTTTTGCATGGTATCAGAGAGTGGGTCAGTTTGAAATGAATAATATACACCAACATATTATGATGATTTGGAGTTGTGAACCAATCGGTTACATTTTCAAACGGCCTACCAATAATTATTATATTACCACATATCTTTGAGGTGGCAATTGTTTTAATTTTTACAATTGAGTTGTCCTTCATCTTCACATATCGATCTTCCTTGTTAATTGTTATAGATATAGTATATAATTTTAATCCAGAATATTGTGGATACACCGCATCACTCATCATATAGCCATGTAATCTTACCAATGTAAGAGACGGGTGATGAAATAGTATTATTGATTTTTTAAATGACTTCATTATTTTTTATTTCCCAATATCTTTGACCGATTTGTTCTAATGGCTTGTATAATGACCTGATATCTTTTTTAACATTTGCATAGAACTTTCAAACGGAAAAGCACAACAAGTAAGAAGAGCTCCCATCTCCATAGCCTCGATAGTTGAATGAAGAACTCAGTGCATAGTATAAGAAACATTTTCTTTACCATACAAGTGTTCAAACTGGGATACCAAATGGCACAATAATCTGTCTGCATATTTATTGTTTATTAAGTTTAATGTAGGAGACAAAAGTATTGTCAAGTATTTCCCACAGTTCATCTGATGTACTCTTTGATATTGGCAAACCGCATCTTCCTACATTTAAATCTAATACATCAGGTAGTCGAATATTCATCAATGCTAGATTTTTGATCACAGTAAATAAACCAATATTATAGTAATCTCCTCCACTTATTGATTTAATTAGGATTTATTTTGGTGTTCTAAGTACAGTTTTAGCATGTGCGGGTAAGTTAGATTGTCCTTTTAGGCACAAGCCTTTTAACAACTCAGATAAATCTTCATGGTTTATATTATATTCGGCGATCCGTGAGCATAAAAACTGATGTAGAGAAAATAATTCATCAGAAACATTATTCTGTGGTCTACGACGTTCAGTTTATAATTTATTTACTTATTTTGACAGTGGCGGACAGGACGACCGAGATACCGGGAAATTTCCCGGTTGGCCGCTGCTCGTATAAAATATACATTTATTAATATTATTATTGTTAAATTATAAAATAGGTGCAGAAAAAGCAAGAGAAAAAAAACGAAAAGCTGTTGTTGGCCTGAGCAAGATTATTTTAGGTTAAAATAAAAAAAATAAAAAATAAATAAAAACAAACTCTAAATAAAAAGGCAGATAAAATTAAATGTATTTATTATACAGTTTAGTTAATAGGCAATAACTAATGTTTTAATTTTTAATTTAAATTGAACTTCTTCATGTTTATTTTTCAAATTTATTATTTTTAAAGTATTAATAAATTCAATACAGAAATTTGAAATATGGCTGGTAACATTAATGATACCAATTTAAATTATATTTTTGGCCAATTGTTTAACACAGGTACAATTGAAAACATAAAAAATAAATAAATACAAATACCTAAATAAAATGTTAATTATTTTATCATTAAATGTTTATAACATGCAGTTTACTATTTGTAGAGTATTGATGAACTTAGTTCAGGTATGAGAAAATTTGTGATGACAAAAATGATAAAAATTCAAATGATTATGTTTTTGGAGATGTTATAGTTACAGTTATGGCTGAAAATGTGGAAAATGTAAGTATAATAAATAAGTTGTATGTAATTCATATTTAATTGTTATAGTTGTATCCTGTAAATAATAATTATTGTGTTAAATAAATGTAGGAAACAATAATTAAGGATAAACAAGATAATGTATTTTATAAAAATGTACATAATGAAGTATGTATTTTCAAAAACCATCTCAGTATAATATGCTTAATCATTCTTTTTGTATTCCATCCTATTCAATCACTTGTTGGACATTTATTCAAATCATCCAAAGCATATTTCAGAAAAAATAAAAACAATTGATCATGGTTGACTTTAAATAATAATAGAAAAAAATAATAGGAACGAAGAGGCAAGGAAAAATATTCAAATAATTGAAAGATTAATTATTAATGTTGTAAAATTAATAGGCTCTAGAAGAAGTCTTAGTTAGTAAGTTTTAGTTTTAAGAAGTCCAAGGTAATAGGAATGAGTCCACATTATCGTTTTTAGACCCCGCTGCAGACCATGGTAATTTTCTTGATAAAATATAACTTTTAAAGAAATATGATATTGTTTTAAGTGAACACATTGATAAAAGAGTTAAATATGCTCAAGTAAAATCTTTATAATTTATATCATAAGTCAACAAACTGCTCAAATCAGAGGGTCATTAATAACTTTTTTATTGAAAACAATTATTAATGTGATGTGATTGATATAATTAATATGTTAATGAAAAAATCAATACTTATAGAAGCTCAAGCAGCTGGTATGTTTTCTATTCAAATAGACACAACACAAGACATTTCGGTTCAAGATCAATGTTCAATCATTAAACAATATGTCAATATGATTAATGTTAATGAAAAATTATTTGCAGTAATTACTATGCAAGATTCAAAAGATAAGGGCTTTCATACTATGTTGGAAAATATTTTAACTAAAAATGGACTTAACACTGAAAATTGTATAGGGAATGCTACAGATGGAGCAGCAAATATGCAGGGAAAATATAATAGGTATTCTGCTTTTCTATCTAAATCATCACCCAATCAAGTGCATGTGTGGTATTATAGTCGTATTTTAAATTTAGTTTTAATTGATGCTACAGGGAAAACACAATTGAGGGTTAGGGACTAGTACCTCCTCGGGTAGTAAATGTCCGTCGTAAGAGGCTACCTAAGTGGACCTAGAAGTGGGCAATTTACTTGTTCAATATTTTTTATAATATAAACTATGGATTATTCATAGTATGATATTTAAAGCTTATATATTGAATAGATTATATAGGTATATAAATATATTAGCAATATTCAATAAACTTAGGGTATGTTAATTATAAAATTCGATATCATTTCATTACATTAATGGTTCCTTTAGTCTTTAGTACACTGTATTTTATTTATTACTATTATGTATATTAGATAAAATGTATTTAAATTAAACCGCATTGAAGTTACTTATTAATTTAAATTATTTCTTATAATGCTACACGATTCGTGTGCACTGTTAAACGTAAATAATAACCGTCGACGGACAGTTCCACAGTTGCAGAATTTGTGTGTTTACTCAGATATTTAACCACCGATATAGGCTACTAATACTGACGTCCGCAACACCGTCGAAGAACAGTTCTGTTTCACACGGGTGCCGTTTATTATTAATTATGTGTTCAATTTACTATTTGACAGAGAGAAGGTTAGGCTACCGAGGACAAAACAAAAACTATGCGGTAGAACAACATTTTATCGAATGAAAAAGAAACGGTATGTGAACGGCTCTTCGAGATTTTGAAGGAGAAAAAACTGTTTGTTAAACCCACGTCGTAACAAACGTCTCCGGTCTCCGAAGAGGATCGGTTTATGTACAAACTGCACACCCGAGGGTTTTAAAAGTGTACATTTTGCGGACGAAACGGTAAGAAAAAAAGGTCGAAAAGTCGAAAAAATTGAGGGTAATAAAAAATCGTATAATCTTTCGAAAAAACAACGACTACATCGATGAACGACAAAACTAAGAGAGATAAATCTTCGACGGCTCGGTCGTCCCGAGGAAATTATGCGTTTGGTCGACCTAAGGGACCGGCGGCCCCGATGGCGGGCGGGCGGTAGAAACTCCGGGAACGCCTAAACGGCTAGTGGCTACACTGGCGTCCTCTATTTCGAGAAAAGTTGGCGTTCCGATTGCTTGTCATTTTATGTATTGAGAAGAATAAATTTAAGTGTATTACATTGCAGAATATTATGTGGAATAATCCACAACATAACCTGCAAACGATCATTGCCGCCAGCAGGCCGCTATTGTGACGTCGTCGTCATCCCTTCTCAATCGAATTACCTTCTACGCACAATATACAACACACCTACGTTCTTTCTAGTCAGTACACGAACGTGTTTTTGACCTTAAAGGCCCAGTTTTACGGACGTCGAGGGGCGAGTTGTTCAATTTAACTTGAATTCAAAACCATGCTGCAGGTAATCTTAATTATTATATATATTATAATTTTATACCGCATTGTTTTTTTTATTGTCGTTGAATTGATGTATAAAATAATAAAAACATTTGCCTATCAATATAACATATAAATAATAACAGGTATACAGCTGAGGTGACCATTGAC